TCAGTGTCAAGCGAGGATCGAGACGAGCTCTCGCTGCTACTGTCAGTGGAAACCCTCTGAACTACGTCGAGAGCACGTGACAAAGGAGTAGCGGAGATGGAAGTATGAACGCATCAAAGCAGCCGCAGCAGCAATAAGGGCATTGATTAAGCACCGACAATTTGAACAGCAGCAGCAGGAATTTGGAAGCCGGAGTTTTACTAGTTTTACTAGTTCTAGTTCTTGGATGTGCCTACTCTAAATAGAATGTATTTCCTTGTATAAGTAATACATTGTTGTGTACGTACTCCTGGTAGAGATGCTTCTTCTTGTTGTTGTATGCTATGCTATACCATTCTAGCCTGGAATTTCCAGATATAGCTATCCTTTCATACCATTTACTATGTAATCCTTAGTCGCGTCTTTCACTGTCAATTGAGCGGGTAGACCTGAGTAAAGGGTTATTCACTTAATCATAGACCGAAATGTCTGAAGCTACACTGTAGCTGCTACAGATAGAAATATGTGCCACCCTCTCCGCATGAACATTCATGAACAACTATTCATCCTAATATCAACTCAATGATGATAGCTCCATGCAATCTGCCTCTAAGTGGTATGTCATAATGAAGTCAATGCCATAGACAGCTCTGGAAGATAAGAGGAATAGACACGTAAACGTTGGCAATCATGTGGTGGGTCCGGCCACAAGTTCGGAGAGCAGGTTTATGTACTGAGGCATACGGATACGAACTTATATGAAGCTGTTAAGTTCGCTCCTTTCGTATGCGTTTCGTGTTTAACCGATATGATGTTGTATTTGCATCAGCGTGAAATGGATTGATGCTGCATTAGTGTAGTTAATTATCCCATCATGGGCTTGATCATCGCGAGGCAAGAGGCTGAACGCCTTGACATCGAGACCTCGCATAACAAGGCGATGGAGTTCATTCAAATACACCATCCAGACTACCTTGGTAGAACCGAGTGTCTTTGCTATCAAGCCATACTAAGAGTATCCTAAAGCATGTCGTTATAGGTAACGGTGAGGTGCTGGGTCTAGATGTAGGCTCTACTAGTAGGAGGGATGATAGGACAAGACATGCATCACTCGACACCATCACCAGAGGCTCTATCCTGACCGACTCCGATCAAGGTGAGCTCCTTCCTCATGACTACTGGTATCAAGTGGCTTAGATCCGGGTGAGGGTGAGGAGGCCAACGACATGTTCATCAATGCTTGTAGGAAAGGCCGATATTGGCTGGTTGAGGTGCAAAGTTCTTCTACCTACTCATGTCGATCTGTGAGCAACCTCTTTCTGCAGTTTTTGGTTCTGCGTAGCATCGATATCATCAACAAACCCGATAGTCAAGGTTGTACTGGACTATACCGAGCAGCGGAGACGGGTCATGATAGAGTAGTTAGAACCCTCATCAACCGACATCATGCCTCTGTAGGATTCGAACTGACACGATTCTTCTCTAGTGGATGTTTCCCTTTTATTTCTGTACTACTCGCTAGAGTCCTTGTGAGGTCAACACTAGGTCATAAGTTCGATATGTCGCGTACAAGCAATCCACTCTACATACTTGGCATTGTCAGATGGATCTGGCGAATGAATTCGGGTGGACTCCTCTCTTAGCGGCAGT